AATGTGATTATTTTGTATTGTGTTCTAGTCTGTAAAATTTAAGTGAATTTGTTAACTGACTTTGAAACAGAAAGATGTCAGCCGTCGACATTCTGCTTTTATGATTGTTATTTATGCTACTTGCGAAGGAAAACATATTAAGAAAACGACTTTAGGAAATACGCATTTCTGATAAATTCTCATCAGGTTTTTTAACGGTTTGCATAATGAAACTTTAGTCATAGACATTTAAAAATACTGTCGTTAGAAAAATAAGATCATAAGTTCAACAATGTGAATTAATGATTTATCAATCGAGGTGATCATCATCATAATAATGGCAAGGACAAATTCATTCAAATTGTTTATAAAATCTAGGCAACGGTGTGTGTAAAGGTAGGATGTGTAGAGTAGTAGTGGTAGAGGGGGAAAATAAATTTTGTCACGTAGCAAACAAATGAACAGTTTCATAAGTAAAAACGGACTAGGGCAAGTCCACTGTAGCCATCTGGAGCAATTGTTCAACCTGGTTAGGTAAAAGAGTCATAAAGGCAGTCAATAAGTTCCGTACTGGGCACACGAAGTGGATACGGAACAATAGATTGATAAAAAGTTCAGCTTTTACAATTCTGTAAAAGGTGCCACCTCAAACTTCGTAGGTTGTAACGTCTTCAGTCGCTATGCATAAGCTCAGGTAATTGCCATAATAATTTTTTCAACCCACTCTCTTTGTTCGGAAAAGAGTTCGCTCAATCTCTCTACCTCCTTTGGCCTTCACCCTCCCTACCCTAGAACATTTGTCACTTCCCGATGACACCGGATACCGTAAATATTGTCTTAATTACTTCACTTTTATTTGTACTGCTAACTGCATTATCAATATACCGGTGTGGTGTAATTGTACACTTTAATCTAGGTTTAACAATTTATTATTATTCTATTATCTAGTTGCTGTGCGTCGGTGGCACAGTGGTAGAATGCTCGCCAATTACGCAGGTGGTTCAGGTTTCAATCTCTCCAGCTGACGCGCTCCTTTACCTCGCCGAGACTCAGTTATTAGACTGGTAAAGAGGGAAGGGTTCTACATTGAGGCTAGCAACCCCATCCCGTAAAAATAAAAACCACTACTACCGAAACTTCAACCCTCTAGCTTGAAGCCCTATGTTCCCACTGGGAACGTAAAAGAAAAGAAGACAAATTTTTTTATGTAAACGCTAGAATTTGAGAATTTGTCAAAAATATGTATTCGCTTAAATACTGTCCTATAATTATCGTAATGGGAATACTCAAATTATATTATCAAGAGTTCCTTTATAGGTATTTGATGTGTTTCTGGTTTGAATTTCGGCTGATATCAGTTGGAGAACCGCTGAAGACCAGGGGGTACTGAACAACTGTTTCGCCTTAGTTTGGGACTCACTGGTAAAGCACACCCACCGGGTTTCAAACCCAGAAAAGACCGAATTTCTAATTTTCCACGTCAATAGGGCCGTTGTCACAAATCAATCAAGTGTGTGTAAATTACTGGGAAGCAGACTGACTAGATGAACGACAGTAATGAGGAACTATTCGAATTTCAGCCACATTTGAATGTAGTTTTCCCTATATGTTGAAATCACTTTCATATAAGTGATTTATCTTGGTTTATTGGTATATTAGTGTTAGTAAACTGTTTAGTAGTGGGATAGAACGCTCATCAGCGACGCGAGGGATCCGCATTCGTTTCCGGGCTAACGCATTCCTAAACTTCACCCAGCTGGTGGTATGCCCGGAAATGAGGGGAAGTTGAGCGGGATGCCAGCAACTCTACCTCATAAAAATGACACCACGCTACTGAAACTTCGGAACTACAGCTTGAAACCCTACGCTTCAACTCAGAACGTGAGAAGTGAAAAAAATAGGAGTAAATTTAGTCATCTGAATGAAGAATAATGACATACTGCATGGATCAGTTTATCTGATGATTTATGTTACCAGGAAATGGAAATCGCAGAATGGACATGTCTGTAGGCAGTTATGTCATTATGAGTTCGTTAATACTGATGTCACAAACTTGTATTTCTAAAGAAGTCTAAAGTAGATACCAGTTTGCATGTAGTTTTTATAACAACCAAAAGGAAATATGTGACTGACATACCTGCCAAACAGTTGGACTTTTAATCAATTTCATGGCTCGAAATGCTGAGTCCATTTCACCAATTGCTAAATAGTAACTAAAATTGAGCATAGCTTCACGCGTTTTTTTCATCGGCATCTTCAAGGCCAACAAAATTTTGCATCACACGTCTATTAACATAATGGATTCTATTATTGGATGTTATTTGACCTTCACCTGGGTACATCAGATGTCACTTGATGTTGGCCCTTTATCATCTGTAGTGGATGATGTATTTACACTAGAATCAAGATTGTTGATGCCAGTACTCACCGTTGTTGAAAGTCGTCTTGGTGTACTGTCTATCTCACTGATTACACGCCGACCAGATGCTGCTAACATTTCTAAACGTCGTTGGTGTTGTTCATTGAGGACACGATAAACTAAATCACACTGAAATTTAAATAATCCCAAACAGTTTTTATAAAATAATAATACCTTTTGCATGAAAATAAAGACTGCATTAAGATGATGAAATTACAGTTAATTAGAGGAGTATTTAAATTTTTATGCCACTTGTCAAACATAATACGACTGAGTCCAGAAGAAGTCGTAATCTGACTGAATTAAATATATTTACTCATTGGTACAGAATGAAAATCTGTTGATATATTTTGAGAGATTATATCATTAATTTCATTGCTTTGTGTTTCCTAAAAGTGACTTCCACTGTACTGTACTTGCGTATATTTCGGTTAGTAAAATTGTTAACTGATCGGATCAAGTTCTTTGTTTTTTATGTCAGCGTTAGACGTCAATTACTGTTAAAATAATATTATGTTAAGACGTTAAACTAATTAATTCTTGAAAGCAGAGCTCATTGTACGCTTACACTTTATAAATAAACTGAATAAAATTACCGTGGAAAAAAGTCTAACACAGTGACTGAAATGCTTGTGTCTACTATACTTCGCTCAACAATACACTACACTATAAAACAGAAAAGCAGCGTCTCATTTCATGCCTTCTGTTAGTTTAAACGTGCGTCAAATTATCATTGTGACACGTGGCGTATTTACAGGAATTATTGAGGCAAATACTTCATGATATTTCCACACTTTCAGGTAATAGTAAGTTGTAACGAAATCTAAATCGGTACAGGTTAGAAATAATGAGTCATCAGATTTCAAACCGTGGTTGTCTATATAGTGTCGTAGGGGAGAACGGTTAAGGACACTAAAACTAGGACAAAACGACTCCTCAATCCTATAGGATGGAAATTATTTTGATTTTATAAATTAGTCAGCAAATTAATCTGAGAAGGTAAAGATTGTGCAACACATTTGTGTTTGAGCAGTTATAGCTGTGCATAAATATAACCGCCTTTCCTTCCACATGCAATTACAGATGATTCACTCTTGCAATAAAGCATCCTTTATGATAAATTCTGTTTTAATGTCGAAGCTGAATATCTCCCGTAATAGTCTGCAGTTATCTTTGTATTTTCTTATGATATTTTGTGGTAAGGTAGTCCTGATAACATTTTTGATCCTGCTGTCAAGGAATTATCTGGTGATGATATAATATAACACACAAAAATACATAACCAATTGAGGCTTGATTAATTAAGTTTTGTGACTCATTTTTCATTCGATAATAATGCTACATGACCAAATCAAATAAAAGAAAACTGGTCTGGATGAACATCCAGTGACGCATTATATTTCTCTGGCAATACCTTTGAACTGTTCATTTCATCAAGAATTATATTATTTATGTCATTAAATATCAATTTAATATTTCAAATGATAATGATAAACATACACGGACGGAAAAGTAGATCAACGGTACTTCAACACCAATCAAAGCACTGTGCAAAACTGACATTAAAAATGATCCTTGAACTATGGTGTTATTTTGTTCTGGGCTGACAAATAATGAAACTATTGATGTAAGGACTTTGGAGTGCTAAAATGAAAATTAAAAGAAAGTCGATTACTAACGAGAAATAATAATAATGCAAATTAACAAGCAGTCAAGACAAAGGCTGTGACGAGAGATAGTAAGTATTATATCATCCATGAAGAATTCGAACAGGTGCACTTCATACAGAATTTTGTGCTGAAGATGTTGTCTTGAAGAAAGGTGAAAGATTTACAACTAAACCATCCAGCTCAAAGAACGCAGCTATATCAAAATAATGAAGAGGAAATCAGTTGACACCTATGCATGTGCGCATCAGGAGACATGAGAAAAACAATACAAAAACTTAACGTTATAAAATAGACAATCATTTGATGAGAATAAGGAGGATGATTGTTTCATGTTCTCAGTTGTTTCATTATTGGCCATTGTGCGTGTAGATAATCACAAATATAACTCCGATAGGGAGAATTTCATTTTACAACAAGTACGAGAATTTTTAAAAGGCCTGCCTTTAGATGAAACTGACAGACAAATACAAAAAGACTCAATATGCAATCTGCTTCAGAAGAAAGCAACCAACAGGACAATACTACAGCGAATGATAACAAAAACACGACTGAAGGTAAACGACATTTTGCTAGGCTATTCAAACACATTAGAATAAACGTGTCCGAATACCAGTTCACTTATAATCCTATGTCTTTTGAATAACTTGACAAAGTACTGTTTACTTTCAGTCCTAAAACATCTATAAACAGCAAGTTTTACACATGAAAAATGATTTTTTTTCAGTACTAATCAACATAATTCAGAGTTGAATGCCTCAGTGTAACGCAAAATTTGCTGTTCTACTAACAAAAGCAAGAAACTAAAAGAGCTATGAAACACCAACTAAATATTCATGTGACTTGTGAATTCGCTTCACTTTTCAATAAAATTGGTGCCGATGGTGTTTACAACCGTGATGATGAAATTTTTGCCATCAAAACTCAGAGAAAAACCGAAAGTTTGTTCTATTTATCAAAAATCTAAAACGGGTAGATTATTAGAAGTTTACAATATTAAGCGAAGTCATTTTACTCCACAAGCACTCACTAACTGTAAATCACCTGATTTTACAAAAGTTACAAAAAAATAAACAATAAGGGACAAAATATTGCAGTGACGTCACACAGGTGTTTTGAATTAAGAAATCCAAAGGCGGCAGTAATGGCTGAGTGGACATCTCAATTTTTAACTCAAATCATTGTCGATATATATGTGACAACATTGTACGGGTCAAGGAAATGTAAATAAAGGGTGGGCAAATGCGAGGAAACAGCGAGCAATACTAACTGAGGGGCCCATGTAACATATATATATATATGTATATACTGGAGGAATCATTCAACATCCAACAAATCTTCTTTATAACCATTTGTGACAGTCAACAGATACTCTATCAGGACTTTGAAAAGTAAATATTGCATGATCAGCGTTCTCAGCACACACACTGTAGTCAAGTATATTAACTAATAACTGATTGTTTGCCTTTACTTTTGTGTTTCATTGGTTCAGGCTCTGTCTTTTACAGTAATTCATTAGCAGCAGGTTGCACTTTTATCAACAGCTGCCTTCGCTCCATATTGAAAATCAAATGGCCAGAAAGAACTAACAACAAGGAACCCTGGGAACGAACTAACCAAGAACATATTGTTCAGCAAATATCCTGAAGAAAATGGAGATGGGTAGGACACACACTAATGAGACTGTCGAATGACATCACGCCATATGCCCTGAAGCGGAGCCCTAATGGAAGACGACGAACTGAGTGTCCGAAAGTGACATGAAGGAGGAGCTGAGAGACTATGGGCAATCGTGGGGCCAGCTCAAGAGGACCGCAGAGGATAGGACAAAGTAGAGAAGCGCTGTTGAAGCCCTATATTTCACTTGGAACCCAAGGGGACTATAACAGTATTATTTTTAATATGATAACGGATTTTTGGATATGGAGACTAGAGATTTAATTTATAGTCTTGTAAACACAGCTGGAGATGATTTGACCAGCATAATCTATCTTGTTACTACATGAACTTCAGACGTATTATGTGATTAGCAAACTGAAGTCAAAACTTAATTAATGATAAGACTCCTTACATACTGACAAACAAGTATCGAATTAGTCGTAATTCATTTCTCATTTTGGTTATAATTCCCGTATACAGAACGTAAGAAGAAGAATATCAGCAACATTCTGGATATTCAAGATATAATATAAAATTATTATAAAGTTATGCATACTTCGTATTGACTTTTAGAAGCAATTTCTGGAGTGATAGATGCCACTTTGCTAGATGATCGACTTCCGGCGGAAGTATACTGATCAGTATCATTTTCTACTGTATAAATAACATCACCACACTGTTTATTCATTTTATCAACTGCGTTCAACCTGGATGTAATGACTGGATGATCATCAGGGATTGGTGAAGCTTCAACAACCAGTAGACGTGATTCAAACTGATCCCAATAATGGTGTTTTGGCCATCTGCCTTGGATAAGATTTGTACTGTTCAATCGAATCAAATCTAAACTCGTAGGATGCAGATCACTTTCATTAACACTTACTAAAGTGGACAAACGTAGTCGAAAAAAATCATTTGAAAGCATTTAATCGAATATATACTCAGAATTATAGATAAATCAAAATATCTTGTTTAAGTGAAACAAAAAAATCTTGATAAAGTAATGAGACCCTTGAACTCCCAATAATTCAGTTCACATTGGTATATGGACAAGAATCAGTATCTGGAAAAAAGAGACCATGGGTGAATTTATAGTCTCGTTTGACAAGCTTGGTAAGACTTAATTTTAAAGGTAGTCAATAAAACGGAAATTTTCGCTTTCAGAAGAGAATTGTGGATAAATATTTATTTTGACATATATATACATGGTTAACAGAAAGCGCCAGCCTTAACTTCATTAGGCAGTTTTCATTCAAATCATTATTATTACTAATGCCTACTGATTCTTATTTTCCAAATTGTCTGGTGTATTAAACACCTTTCTAACCTAGGAAATTGCGTACATTTCAAAGAGCTGATAGTCAGTCAAGTCACATTACGGAAACTGAAAAATTTATGAGTCGTTGAGAACTGTGGCCATGTATGCTGTTGCGAAGACATCAAAGATAGATTTCACTCAGCATAAATGCACCCTGCTCCGTGACAGTAAAAGCTGATTATTGTGAACAAAACAAATAAAAAGAGACCGGGGATTTTACTTCAGCTGTATGCATAACATGGCATTTTAGAAGGACTGAAAATAATTAGTGGAATTATTTTTGGGCTTTCAGTTAACTGATTTTGTGCATCAGTGGCACAGTGGTTAGGACGCTCGCCAACCATGCACGTGGGCAGTGATTCGACCCCGGCCGACGCACTCCTTTATCTCGCTAAGCCAGTAATAAAAGCTGGTAAAGAGGAAAGGTTGGGCATGAGGCTAGCAACTCTATGCCGTAAAAATGAACACCACTGGTATGGAAACTTGAACCCTCTAGCTTGAAGCCCTATGTTCCACTAGGAACGTGAAGGAATAAAAAAAAATAAACTGATTTTATTGGCTTCTATTAGCGACATTGTGACAACAACGTGATCGGTGGTGGCCAGTAGTGGAATGTAGGATGAGCGTTTCGGTCTATTTAGAGCTTGTCAGATGAATGTACCTACATTTCCATTGAGCGATGAGTCTTTATACGGATTTCAACACAACACCAAGTGTTTCAAATGCCAGAATGTATCCTGCATTGCATTACTAGCCGCTACCAACCAAATAACAGTCACATGTATATTAACAGTTAATTAAATTTGTCAAAACTGAGAAACTTTATCAGCCATAATGGTAAAGTTATATGACTGGCTATATTCATCAGGAATGAATTTCGCTGGAAACAAACAAAGAGCAATCAGATTAATAAAAGATAAAAAGTCATAAGTTCAGAAAATACTGTTTGAAATTCCATGGGGTAGTGTTGGCGTTCATAAGACAAGAATAGATGACTGAAGACTCCAAGTGATACAGATGAAAATCATTCATAATTTCACACCGGTTTGTGTACTATTTTTAATAAGCAGATGCTTTGACGCTCATATAGGAATCACAGAAAGCATTTAAAAAACTCAAGTATTCTTGTGGTTGTGCGAGTGCTGGTTGGAATTTATTGTAGTATGTAGAAAAATAGCATTGCGATAGAATCCTTGACTCTCTACATCGAGTCTGAGGGATTTTGCAGCTCAGGTTCTTAAATAGACTTTAAAGTAGGAATCAGGGGTGAGCATAACTCAGTTTCCTAATTTTTTCTAATTCGAAAACAATAGAACAGTAATGAAGGCTATTTAGAATGCCCGACGGATTTTATTCCGTTGAACCCCAACTATCTCATTCTCTTTACTTGTTGTTACTGTCGCTTGACTCTTCTGTGTAACACACTTGCTGGTGCCTATACTGTATTCAACTTGTGCTCAAATACATAACAATAAACATCGGATGGTGACTTCTGTCGTCTGGAGTAAGACTCGTCATCAGCGTATAGACAACACTAGAACTGAACTGCATCTTTAATCTGTTATAAAATGAAGTAAGCGCAGGTAACATAATTCAGTTAGTAGAATATTTTTTTGTTCCTTCACGTTCCCCACTGGAACATAGGGCTTCAAGCTAGTGGCTTGAAGTTTCTGTAGCAGTGTTTATTTTACAGGATGGGGTTGCTAGCCTCATACCCAACCTTTAATCTTCGCCAGCATTATTTCTGGCTTAGTGAGGTAAAGGAGTGCGCCGGCCGGGGATCGAACCCCAGTCCATGTGCATGGTCAGCGAGCGTCCTAACCGCTATGCCACCGACGCAATAGTGGAATATAATCATCTCTTTTCTAAACAAAATCTATGAAAAATACTGCAAATATCCCATGCATACAAAAAACATACAATAAAAATACTTACATGTTCCAGGAATTGTACTGAGTGAATTCGAAATTGCTTCAAAGAAATTAAAACACTTCAATTTGTCTACATCTAAATGATAAATAAAAATGTTTGGGTCTGGAACCCATTGTTTTAATGCATCCTCCTCGTTTATAACACTTCTAGATTTCTCTCGAAAACACTGTTCATTCATTTTATTTGACTCTGATTCGATCAGAGTATCCGATGACTGGTCTGCTACATCTAAGCATGGCCATAATAAATTGCATAATATTCCATCTCGGAGAATTTCTACTGTAAATGCTAATGTACCACCAGACTTATTGATTGAAATCCAAGATATGTTCAATTCATGCATAACAGCATCGTTTGGATTCTGTAGTAATGACAGATTTTTTTGAAACGTTTTTGTAGAGCATAATGAAGATGTAGTTGAATTCTGTGATATCTGATTTAATATTTCGCACACAACTAACTTTGTTAGTGATTTTGATGTATCTGTAGACTTGACTTCTCTATAGTAAAAGATAAGTAAATTACGGGAAATAAGTTGAGAATGAGAAGTTAATCACTTATTTGTAGGTAGACGGTAAATGCAACTAATTAAACTGAAGAATAGTGTCAAGATAAATTGTCACTTAAAGAACCAATGAGTACCCCGAAATCATGGAACGTCCTGTGTGGATGCGTATTACTGAAGAATCTCAAACTAGGACGAATCAGTTGTTCAGTACTTCCAGGTTTCCCAGTGGTTCGCTAGCCAATAACAGCTCACGATGAAATCTTCTAACCAATCAAACCCATGCAAATCAAAGCTTGAAAAAAACTTAAATTAGAAAGAACGTCTTATAGCAGAGGCAGTTGACATAAAATTGAATCTGATGTGCCTAAAGGGGAATTTGGGGTCACAACAAAATTTCATCTGAATTCAGCAACCTACTTCTTCAATGTATCATTGTCAGAGATAAGAACTTTCATCGCATAAATACCTGTCGCTACAACAATTTGCACACTTATCGATTCTAACAATCTGAATATGCCTGTTGTCATTATCAATAAAGCAGAATTACTTCGTACAGAAGAAATCTGATCCAGTTATAAGCCAAGATTTTGTAAAACCTAGTTTGCTGCTATTCTGATAAGGCTGGTGGTATTAAATGGAGAGCTGTCAGTAAAAGAAGTAACGTTATTTTGTTTTCCAATCACCAGGAAACACAAATGAACATATGACGGTGAAGCGAATAGTTATGTGGGATTTACAAAGTAAGTAAATCTGGCTGAAGTCTCCTGGGGAAATTTGGATACTTGATTGAAAATGATGATGCCTGGCTTCCCATAAGGATTACTTCCTAGACCTCAGTTTTCTAAAATAACGACTGATTAGGTTTTGTAAGTAATTAACAGCAAGTCTATGTATAAACAGAAAGCATGATGTAAAATTTAGCTGGAAATTTATAAAGCCACACTTCAAATCATTACAAAGGAAATCTTTGAATGGAAATACAATGATTTTTAAATTAATAAGAGGATATGAAGGGTATATTTGCATGATGCAGTTCAGAATGGCGTATTGAGCCTATCTTCACCTCGAATAACATATTATTGTTCTCTGGGTAACTAAAGCATGTCAGGTATTAATTGTTTCAGAAACAGTTACTGAATTGAGAGAAGACTTACATGCACTACTTATATTTTCCCTTCGTAATGATATATGAAAACGACTGTATCTCTTTCTTTGTTATGCACTGATAAATAGTCCAGTAGAACTAAACTGTTATCTTGAATATTTGTCATATTAACACAACATTTTTAGAAAGTTTACGTAATGGTATTACGGCTAGATTTTAAATGAAAACTTGAGTCATTTTACTGAACAATTTGCTAATTAACTTGCAGTTTACACAGTTCGAGGTGAAATTTCGCCACAGTTCCCTTTAGAGACCAAAATTATTTAGATTATATTGTACCCAAGTAGCTAGATAAAATCTGATGTGTGGTCTAAAAGATACTTATTTGTCTTTCCCTCATCCGCATGACAGCAACTCAGACTTATCGACCATTAAAGTTAAACTCTTTATAAGCTTAACAAATAATAAAATAACATTAATACTAAAACTTTTAAAATGAATAATCAATGTCAAAAGTTTTAGTTTACCTTCTACTTAGGTCCAACACTCGTATTTTATTCTGATCCGTTAAGCATGCCATGTAATTAGCACACTGAGACGTCAGAGCTATACTGCCCTCTGTTTCGGTGAAATTAATCAACTGTTTAACACAACCCTAAGGAAATAAAACAGAACAAGATGGAAAAGTTGTTTTACATAATTCTGAGATATACTTAAGAGCTTTACATTAAGTAATTATCCCTTACGGAAAGCTGGTATCAATTTTCTAGGTTTTAAAAAACCATAAACTATATAAACAGATATTTGTGGTGAAACAAGGTGTCGATTGTGAAAATCTCTTTAAAATGCCCCACTTTTCAGTAGTAGTGGAGTGCAATAAAACCAATTATATTTCTAATAGTTTTATAAGGAATCACTCCATTCGATACAGCGTACAGAAATTATTGTTTATTGGAGACGTTCCGAGAATAGTTTGTTATTCATAATCGTTTCCATTCGATGTGACTATGAGTACCACCTCCATTAAAAATGTTGAGACACTAATTACTTTCTCCTGAATATGTTAGTATTTTGAACCATATTCTACACATAACAGTAGATGCATAGCAAACACTTAATACAATTTTCCTTTTGTCTCATATACCTGTCTACTGTCTCTATTTTGCTTTTCTCCTACTTTCTTCTCTTGCTTTGTGTGCTACACAGAGTGTGGCGACTTGAACTGCTGCCCATTAGTGCAAAGTTCTATATTGAAAAGAGACAATGATCTTGACATTGAAAGACTGTCAAAATCTTGGAACAAAATCAGTCAGTATAATTAGTTAAGCGTAGAAAGACCCGACAAGTTAATCTCATAAAGTTGCTTTTTTTAAATTTTACATTAATAAGTACGCTGTAGCAAAGAACCACCTGGTAAATGTGACAAAGTAGATGTTATTTTGTAATGGGCAGTTCAACGCTATTTTGTCAGAATGAAAATATCATATTCAGTCGAGATACTCATATGATGAGGTCTACTGAGTGAATCTGCCACAAGAATTCAGGTCAAGACAATTAGCGGAGACAGACAAACTAATAATTCGGAAGGCAACTGTTCAAAAATAATAAACAAAGATAAGTCGATGAACTGACAGGAGGATAACATCCTATCAGCAGTCAAATAGGCTGAATACATTAATATCAGTTTTCACAAAGAAAGTGCTATATATACATAGATATATTATATATATATATAATACCATATTTATAAAAAATACACTCTAGTGAAGACTGAGAAACTCACCTCCAAATTACGGACCTGTAGTTTATATGGTTCAATTGTAAATATACTTTGCTGATGCATACCAACAAATCTGAATTCACACGCAAAACTAACTGCAAGTTGAAATTAGTGACAAACAGAATAATGATTACCTTATATTAACTAATAATCAAATAAAAACAAAACAACCGTTTGTTAACAGTTCTGTCAGAAATGTTTAAGAGAATTATTGAAATAAACTTTTTGAATAAGACAAAAAAAATAAATACCATTTAGATTTTCAAGAGTTGGATTGTAAGGATTAGATTTGTTTTTACCAGTTTTGACCATGGATTGATATCAGTTAGAGAACCATTGAAAACCAGGCGGGTGTAGTTGACAGCTGTTTAATCCTAGCTTGGGAATTATCTACAGCACGCACCCACTGGGGTCCGAACGCAGGTCAAACTCGTAAAAATTATTTGGGTTGGCAAGCATGCTTCCTAAAGCATATCAAAACTTATGGCATCTGTCAGTCTGCATTCATGTACGAGGTTATCAATCATGCATAGTAAGAGACTGGATTTGTACAATTTCAGTGTTTATAGACGAAAATCTTGATTTTTTTAAGTTAGTAACAACAAGATAGTTGAAAAATATCTCCAGAGGTTGTGAATATCGAATGATATTCAGCAGTAACTGTTTCATACAGGTTTAAACCTCTAAAAAATTTTACACAGTCAATTCCTATAGAATCGAAACTTCAACTACCAGGTCTTTCGTGGAGTATATTACGAATGCGCGTCAGTGGCACAGCGGTTAGGACTCTCGCCCACCATACACATGGTCCGGGGTTCGATCCCCTGCCGACGCACACCTGATATCACTGGTTGGCCTGCAAAATTGGAGTACCGCTATCACATACTGAAAATTCCATACTTATACCGAAAATTTGGTGTGGAATCAAGCTGTAATAAATAAAAAAATAAAATAAATAAAAAAAGAATTCGTTTGAGATTTAGAACATGAATATTCACATGTCTTCAATGAAGCCGTATTACCATTCAGTAAACACATTAGTCAGTAGTACACTTTACGGGGACTTGAATAATATCATTGGAAAGTTAGAAAAAAACTCGTATATATATAGTAACTTTTTCCTATGAGAGAATCATGTTAGTCTGTCAGAAGTATCCATTGCTTCAAACTGACTGTAATTGATTTTTACTATGAACCAAGTGACAACATGGTTTCAACAGAAAATTTCATGCTGAAACAACTAATGTTTGTATCTTCAGATAGTTTACACCTGGAAACCACAGTTATCTAGTGCCTCTTTGTGTTTAATATTTCTTCAGTTGGCCTTAATGTATAATGAAATATTATTATCCGACCAGTTGATAACTCTTGAAGATTGATGACTGGTATTAGTACAAGTTCTCAGTGTTTACATTCAAATGTTTTTCCCTACTTCTCTAAACTAGAAAGTGATAAATTGAAATTTTTATGGTGGGTTATTTGAAATAGACACCAGTTTGTATCACATGATTATGTGGTGTGAAATCTAACTATTGGGTAAACGTTTCTCTACGGGTTATAATAAAACCAGTAGACAGGGAAGAACTGCCCACTTTTGATGAAATACACAATATGATGCAGTTCAACAATAAAAATTAACCTCAGTCCTACTACAACTTCAGCTTTTCTGCAAAAATAGATGGTATAAAATAAATTTGTATTGTGAACGAAAAAAAATATAGAAATTCAGTATATTTATACACTTGATTTAAATGAAAACTTTATTAAGTTTCAAAGACTTTTAAAAAAGTCATGCTTATTTCAGACTTACCCAGATGGGTAATACAATTTCCTGTGGAATGTTTGAAAACAGATATACGATGACCATTCCAGTATGCAACATGTTCCTTAAATGAAAAAAGCGAACATACATTTACCTATTCAGTCTTAGATAGTACCGTCACAGCATTAAGGGTAAGACAGGGTCAATAAAATTGAATAATGGACGGTCAGAAAAGGTAAGTATACACAAAGAATTATAACAATGCAAAAATATATATATCAGAATTCTCGATTGTTTTATTGTCGACAGTCACGCAAATAATAATTTATTCTTATTGAAATACTAGTGGCAAAACACTAATGATAATAAAACAGTAAGGATTACGAGCCTATAAGAAAACAAACACCGGGCAGCTTTTTTTATTCCTTCGCGTCAGCTTCAAGCTTCAGTAACTGTGGTGTTTAGTATCTGTGTGTTAGAGATGATGGCCTCACGTCTTACATTTCTTTTCTACCAGTCTTACTACCGGCTAAGAGAGGGGAAGGAACAAACTGACAGTTTTCAGATTGTTTTTACACTGAATCTTGGTTTCATTCTGTTGAAGAGTATCAAGTTGCTGAATGCGTTATCCAATAGTTTCCTAACCCTACAGATCTGTGATGAACACTACACTGAGGTAAGTGAACTAGTGATTTTCCAAATAGATTTATTTAGTAGATTAACTGCAGCAACAATAACATGGTGAAACCGAGTAAGCACCACACTGATTATGTAATATTCCTTGGGATCAAATTGCACAAAAATCGAAATTATAGACAGATATTTAGTAGATAGATGTATGAGTAAAACTCATGTTATCAAGTTTTTTGCAAGCTCTACTAACTCAGTTCTTTTCCGAAGACATACATCCTGCATAACAACCTACACTTGACTCGACAGATAGATTGGTCACACATTAAAGCACAAAATCAAAAGGAAGAATACGAATCTTTTCGGTAGAAACAAATGCAAAGTATCATGGTGCTCGACCCATAATTTAGCTTATATCTAATATAATCAAAGTTTTTACGATTAACTAAAGTAACATTTAAGTATATGGTTTGAACAGGTTGTTTTGGATTATAAACATACTCTAAGTGGGCTACAGAAGTTGCTGACTTTTCGAAAGCAGCCATAAACACACTGTAAAATTCTTTACATTTAAACATACCTGTGTACAGAATATAGCCTTAATTTGATCTTCAACTTGTGCTTCATGTTCATATAGTGTAACTTTCTTTTGATCAATTAAGAACTTTGAATTTTGTTTCTTACTTTTGTCTACCATTATTGGTGTTGAAGTAGTTATAAAAGAAGCTGGAAGATTATTAAGATTGGCGATTTTAGTTGTATTAACACTTCCTTTATTAATTTCAGTATTATCAAGTATAGACGCTAAATTATTCGATACATTCATTGGTGACGCTGGCGTCATTGTATCGGGTATTGAAGTAAGCATAGAGAATGACTGTGAACCTGTTTGAACAACAACACATCCACTTCCATAGAAATGTGTGCATAAAGATTGTCTTTGTAGAATATGTACAGAAGACTTGACCTGTATGCCTGCAAATATTAAACAGATATTGTAAAAGATATTTATCTGAATAGTACGCATTTATCAGTAAATGAAAATGAATAAAATGTGCACAAATATTGACAAATTTAATGACTTTATTCCAAAGACACTAAACTTCTAAGTGTTTTATAAATATAAAGTAAGCTGTCCCTACAATTAGGTTTTTTGACTTGAAGATCGAGAATACCTGTCATTCTTTTACTTACGCGAAAAAGTCGTATGTCTACATATACTTCAACTGAATAAGAAGGGAAAAAACACAGATCGACCAACTAGTTTTCTGAATGCTTTCACTTGCCAGCCTATTCCACCCTTGAATTGAGTGATCTACCAGATTCCAGTAGAGTAAAGTTTATGTTTTCTGTGCTCTGAAATTACAGTAGCTATGACTGTTTCCTGCGGAGTAGAATCACTTGCCCTATAGTCAACTTTCCCTCCTTTCCAGCCTGACCAATTACAGACACCAATCACTATCAACAGGAGAAATCTAAAAGAAGTCATCTGCTTTACTTCCTTGGGTAGCAACTACGGGTGGCACGGACGAAGATGTTAAAACCAACCAGGATCAGATAAGGAAAGCGAGACAGGAGTTTATTACCCTGAAGACAGCGTGCTCTACAGAACTTAGCATAAGGAACAAATTCGAATTTCTAGTCAAATAAGTGCTTCTAACCACCTCAGAGACGGAGCATGAGGAAAAGCGTTTACGACAGGCTACTGCAGGCATTCATCAACAGATGCACTGTATAAATACTGAAGGTCATATGGTCAACCAGAAAGAACTGAAAAAACAGAACCTAAGCAGACAGCGAACCAGCCAACAACCTATTACCCAACAAATATGTACAAGGACATGGAGGTAGATTGAACACAAGCTAAGAAGACACTCAATTGTCAGAATTTCGGTAAGTGTAAACAGTTATATCTACACAATTAATTTTTAAGTAATTCAGACTTATTGAAAGAGAATACAAATTTCCGAATTGGTTGAGAACAGTATCACTGTTTTAGTGTAAATGATATAAAATTGATTAGTTTTAACTGTTTTCATTATGTGCTGCAGAATTATAACATTTTTCGGAAGCTATTCCGGCATTTCTTAAATACATATTCGAAAGTGAAATTTCATTGCAACTTTATTTCGAAACTTCAGCTTTTCACATCAGAATATGTACAGGTTGGAAGAAATATGGACGTTTTGGACTATTTATCCTTTTAAGATGCATCAAAACTTTCATGCCTGATAATCTCAAATGAAAACGAGCAAAATCACCGTTGTATTCAGATAATTTTTAACTAGCTACAGCTGGATATCGGTAAGTGTGACATGTTTGCAGCTGTTCATGCCATGTAATAGTATCCGTTACTATCATTTTGTAAGACAGTTGCTTTTATTAAAAGTCATTAAATTGAATACCATAGTTAAGCGATAGTGCTCACTAGCGACATAAGTATCACATAAGGTTTGCATAAAACTAATGGAGTATATCACATTATGTATAATCAAAGGTAGAAAAATGTATACACATCAGGAAAACTGTAAACGTTTAACAATGATCAGCAATTAAACCTTTGATACTACTTTTTGGTAATCTACATAATATTTTACGAAAATTCACAGTTGTCTCGTATTATTGAGAAGGTGTAATTCATTCATTTATACATTTGATTTTCACTCAAAATATGCCTTACCTACATTTTACTGAACAGTCGGTTAGTATTATATTCACACAATAATAACTTGTGCTCCTGCATCAACATCATAAACCAGTGACTTAAAGAGTACAGGAAGTATTTGTGTTTAACGAGTAATAATTTAGCAGAAATGCATTATGGAAACTTCGAAAGCAGCTGCATACGGAAAATGAAAATAAACAAGTAAGCACTCTGAGACGTGGGATATTGCATTGACCCTGACTGATTCATTGCAAGCTGTCACACTTCAAAACAGGTGGAAAAATAATTACTTTGAAGGCATCGTTTCAACTGCAGGTGGAACTGACGAGGATATCAAAGCGAGGATCGGGAAAACAAGTCAAATTTTCATCTCTCTCAAGTCTGTGTGGATGTCAACAGAACTCAGCATGAAAAATAACATCCGGACTTTCAACTCCAATGTGGAGTCAGTGCTACTATACTGACCAGGGACTTGGCGCATTCTAAAGGGCACTTCAAACAGACTACAGGATTTCATCGACAGCTGTCTTTGCTCAGTACTCAAGATCAGATGGCCGGCCAGAAAAGATGAGCAACAGGAGTTTCTGGGAGCGAACCAACCCAGCAGGAACAGATTGTTTGACAAATATGCAGGAAGAAATGGAGGTGGATTGGCCATACTCTGAGAAAACCATCGAGTGGTATCACTCGCCAGCACCTCGAGTGGAACCCAAATGGGAAGTCGCTAGTTGGTCACCAATGCGAGGGTGACAAGGAGGAGGTCATATGAAGAGGAGATGAAAGCATGTGAGCAAAGGTGGAGCAGGTGAAAAAGTTGGCAGAGAACCGTGCGACTGAGGCCCTACGTTCCTCTAGGAATTAAAGGAAACAATAATAATAAGTATTTTGTGATATGTTTTTGTGTGATACTACCCAGTTATGGTACATGGTTCACAACAAAGACTCATAAGCTGAAATTCAGGTATATATTCCAATTAGGAGAGCACTATCTTGGTAGTGTGAGGACAAAGATGTACTTTCGTAAAATTGGGGTATTTCTTTCAGACGAACAACAACCTTGCTATGCTGCTTCTGCTCTCCGTAGAGAGTGATTAGAACAGATAGATGGCAAAAGTTGTACATCCCGAATTACACTGCCGAGGTCCAAAGCTGGCGACAAGATGCATATACCAACACAAATCTAAAAACTAAATTCGGTTTCAGCTCAGCTAATGAAATTGTTTAAGTTGGTTTGCATAGAAGAACAGAAGCAATTTCGTATGCAGCAGACTTAAAGTTCATTTCAGTAAAAAATATCTTTGATATTAGTCTTGCCAATAGTAATCAGCTAATAATTCATGCACTACTGAAGACTGCCAAGACATTTATGTCTGCTCAGTTATAGCAGAGCTACTAAAGCCTAGAATGAAGTGAAGTATAAAACATCTTCAATTGGTCGATGGTTATGTCATGGAGTGTTATGATAATAACTGAGAGTTCAAATATTTACAAAATAATGAAAATTTCTGACATGTTTGAAAGCGAACAGAATGACATTTAAATATGAGGCGTCCTTAACTTGTTAACTGATTTTAAATGCTTAAATAAAAAATAAGAGTCAATTAAAAATTGTGGCATAAGCAGAATGCATATAAATGAGTTTAATACGTACTATGATTGTAAGTTGTTTTTTCATTTGAATGATGAGGTAAAAGAGCAACGGCCAACTTTTTCTCTCGCTCACCCCATGTGAGCAAAGATATACTTCGGTTCGGATCAATTGGTAATGAGGCAAATTCGCTATTCTGTTGGTTCGTTAAAATAGCACTGGGCTGAGGATGCCAGTTAGC